ATGGAGATGGCGCTAAAAAGGGAGTTACAGGTATTAAAACCTACAGTGCTTTCTCTTTGGTGCTTAGATAATGCATTTTAGTTTATAATCAAAGAGATTACATTTGATGCACAGAAAAACGGTCAGTGCAAACTCCATGAACATGAAATCATCTCACCAACTTCCAGGCCAGTGTATTTGTGGCAATCAGAAAGAAAGCGGGGATCCTCATCAAGAGTTTAGTTCAAAGCCCCGATTATTTGAGCTTCATCAGAGGAACTGAGCTCATTATTTGGTCATTCATTCTGGTGAGACGTGTGCTGATGGATAAAAGTGCAAGCAATTTTTCATAATCGTTAAGTTTATCTTATAAAGTATATGATTCTAATGATAACCTTTATGCAAAACAATTTTTTTGAAGTATATTGAATGGGAAATTCTTGTGCTTAATCTCTGGGTATGACATAGCAAAATTAGAACAGACCTAGCTCATCTACTATGGATTAGGTTTTAAACTCTTGAGGCTAAGGTATTGATCTGGAATTTAAGATGACTCAAACTCAACTAGGTTGGGTAAATTCAAAATGACTTAAAAAATTAATTTATTTTTTAAAATTTAAAATTTAGATTAATTATACTTTTAATTTTAATTTCTAAATGTAAAATAAAATTAAAAATATAAAATAGTTATTTTTATATTGTTTGAGTTAACATTAGTTTAATAGGCTCTTGTATTAAATAATTAATTAATATTAAGAAAAATATAGAAAATATTGAAAAATTTTAATTTTAAGATTAATTTTTAAAAGAAGTCTTCCATCCCAATCTAAAACTCATTTACGCAGATAATTAATCTACCCTTTTAACTCAAAACCCAAAATAACCTAAATAAACTCTAAACTTGAGACCCAAGCTGACTCGATTCAAAGTCACTCGACCTGTTCACAAGGTTCTGGGGTAAACTGCTTCAGTTATCTGTCCTGCAGTGTGCTGATGACCCTTTTGTATGAATTTTGCTTCAGAGATTTTACAATGTTCGGTGAAATGGAACTCTTGAAGCCATTTTTCTTTCCACAATTGTTCAGGTTTTTCTCCAACTCAACATTAACATTATAAGATGTAGAAAGGGTGCGCCCATGAAAGCAACTTCATAAGCTGTTTACTAACACTAAATACATTTTGTAACCCACTCTAATCTGTACAATCCTCTAATAATCGTTAAAACTAAAATGGACCAAAAAAGGGAAGGCAAAAAGCACGAGAAAAAATAAAACAAAAGCAAGAATAAAACAGACGTGAGACAGATATCACGAATTGCTTCATCAGCCTTGGATGTATTGGCTTTAGCTTGAAGCTATGGCACCCCATTTCATGATTAAGATGTGTGAAAACTTGGCCGGAGGCATGATTGAGACATATCAGAGCCTTGGCTGGAGGCATTTGTCACCACTGGTGAGATGGTTGGCAAGGAAAGGATAAAATGAATTATTGTTGGGCTCCTATTTGAACTTTCTGAAATGTGCGAGAGGAAACCCCATGTAGAAGTCGAACAAACCCCAGGAAACTGAGCTTTCCATCTGCGTGTCTAATCCAGTCTTGGAGAACTACATGAACTGGCACAGATGGGCTAAGTCCGAGTTCCTGAAAGGAAATTACAGCTGTGTCAGTGCTGTAATTTCTGAGCAAACAAAAAAATCGCAAATGAAATGCTAAAACCAAACTAAAATAAACGGAAATTCTGAGTTGTATATCCAAGCTCTAAGTAGTAAAGAACTTGTAAAAAAAAGGGGCTTCGTGAGGGGTTACGGAAGCAAGTTCTTCAATCATAATGGGCCTATTTCCATCTTTCTCAAACAACTCATATGCGCGTCTTGCATGTTGCTCCCAAGTATCCATTCCTTCTAGCTGATGCACACTTATGGCAGCAGCACAAAATTCTTCAAAATCCAATTTTCTATATTGAAGAGAACCAATCTGCAGTATACAAGAATACACAATTAGCCACCAACCATCAGTATTATTTTTCTTGTTCTGGAAGTTTATTTCAGACAAAACAACTTAAAAACATTACCATGTTTACATAATCTACAACCCGAGATTCCTTCATTGCATCAGTTGAGTTCCTTGTCACTGCCTGCTAACATCAAGCTACTTAGTATATGACGTGTACAGGTATAAAATGTAAACAAAATGCAGAGTATGTAAAGAAGTTGTACCGTCTTATAATTCTGCATGGAAATGAAACCATTTTTATTTGGACCTAACAATGTGAATTGCTCCCGGAGATAAGCCAGCTGAGGCACAGTTAATGTCTTTGCAAGAGCCTGCAACCATAGGAAACTAAACATTAAGAGTTATGCAATTTAAGATCAGTGTCCCACATTTATGGTTCCAGAAGTCAATATTGACTTCCCTAAAATTGTCATTAGTTTTATGCGTGGAGACAAATTCTAGTCGGTATTTCTTCATTCTGCTCCTGTTTTCATGAGTGTGGATAGCTGGGATCTTGAAAGGAGCAACAAGGCCAATTCGCTGCTTGCCTGAAGGATTCGGTTTGATATTCCTTAATCAAGTTATAATGATTTAAGCATTATGAAACAAATCTATGAACATCTCCGCAATTTTATAAAATGCCCATAACAATTCTATACATGTAACCATCCAGTGATTGACTTATTTCCTAATCTTTTCCCATTTTCTCACAACAGAAACAACAGCAACTAACACCTGTCTATCAATTACACCACACTTCTAGACTCTGCCAACTCAACTATAAATAAATCATAAAGTTGTAAAGTCATCATTGGAAACATGGCTGTGATTTGATATTCACCACTTGACAGTCTTGAGAATGCAAGGTATATCCCTAAGTCTCTATAAAAGGTCTTGATCTAAAAGAAAATAAAACGTTCTGGATAGTGCAAATTAGCTAAGGATTAAATGATCATGCTTACCCCCAATGCTGATTTCCGTAGAGAAGAGGAGAATATATATGCTTTTACAAGTCTGTATACAATCATATCTTGTGGTATCTTTATGTCATGATAATTGGCCAACCATGGATGACCTAAGCACAAAAATATGGAAAAAAGAAAATGGAAAAAAAGAACAACAAAAATATGGTCAGGGTGCATATTCCACTGTTTATTCATGTTTGGTCTGTTCCATGACTTAATGACATCAGTATTGACCAATTAAAAGTTTAGAAAACTTACTCAGAGCCTGAGCAGCAGTTAGTCTCTTACGGTAGTCCTTGTTTAACAATCTCTTTACAAAATCAATTGCTTCTGGGGATAAAGAAGGCCAAGGGGCTTCATCAAAGCTTGGATCTGCTTTAAGGACAGCACGGAAGATGCCTGATTCAGTCCGTGCCCAAAATGGCCGGCTTCCACAAAGAAGTATGTAAGCAATTACTCCAATACTCCACATGTCTGCTTCAGTCCCATATGATCTATGAAGAACTTCTGGGGCAACATAATATGCACTCCCTACAATGTCATTCAACCTTTCATCTGCCAAAAGCATAGAATAATCAAACTCCAAGAAACCGTTTGCAAAATAACACGAAGAGGGGAACCTCAAGCAGTATTTCTAACCAGGCTTTACGTAGTCGGAGAGTCCAAAATCAATGGCCTTCAATTGGGAATTTTCATCTTTAGTAGAAAAAAGAAAATTCTGCAAATTATTTAACATTATCAGAATTTAGAGACAGAATATACCAATCATATTCATATCTCAATAAAAGGAGAATATGCCACAACAGACAAGAATGCATAATTTCGTAGGGAATCATCATTCATTAAAAAAAAAAAAAAAA